ATTAGAGACTCATGCTTGGCTTATCAGATAACGCAGCATGTGGTAGCTTACAAAATGAAGACAAGCAACTATCAAAAACCAAAGACTTTTCTTCCTTATCAATTTTCTTTGCTGTCGCGAGTGGGGATAAAACAGTTGAGAAAACTGATTAGTATTGGAAGAAGGCTTTAATTATCACTTGGCCCATATCTCACCCTTTAAGCAAGTTGTCAGTTCACTGGTACTTGATGAATGAAACAGACAGCCAACCTCATGGTTAATCATGAGTTTGATTACCTGTACCTACATCTTCTCTTATCCAAAAGAAATATTAAAACTTGATCTTTTGTAAAGTTTTAATGAGAACCAAGTATTAACTGATAAGCTCTCTTTTAAACATAAATTTATCGATTTAAATTTCCACATAAAAGGATTCAAAGTTGGGTTTACAGTTCATCATAACAACAAAGCATTTTCTAATCATGTCTCAATGTTAGACATGGGATTTGGTTCCCAGAAAATGAGAAATCAACCAAACGCAATCTAACATAAGCAACCAGAATTTCAAAATATGTATATCCTGGTTTTTCTTTTCCGTATATGGTTATGCATACATAAAAAATCAGTGAAGATATTAACATCCAAATAAGCATAATAATACAATTGTCAAACCATCTAATATGCACACAGAGAACCACATAAAGGAGACAACTTATATGTGTGTATCTCTGTATATACACGTTTACATAAAGGAAAAAGAAAGCTGATCGACCATGATCACCGAATTATGGAGTTAAATAACAAGGGGGACAGAGAAATTTTCGTAACAACTGAATCAAAACCTGAAAAGAACCCAATTCAAAACCCAGAAAGGAAAAAAGGGGAACAGTGGAACCAAAGAAAACAGAGAAAACAACATTGTATGATTTTGACAAAACACCATAACTCTTTTCCTGGAAATTTTTCGTGTTTGGATACCGAGAAAACATGAAGTTGACTTAAACAAACCAGAGGTTTATATCCGCTTAAAAGAGAACAATATCCCACCATATCACCAAACAACAACCGATTGAAAACCCAGATGAAATCCCAATTCTCATTACCAACAGCTCAATGCCCAGAACCCAGAATCAGGAAAATCCAGAATCGGAAAAACCCAGAAATGAAAATCAATAAAGGTTAAATTAATTTACCTGTCTTCCCATCTTGATAACAACATAAGGATCGCTGCTGTTGACGTCTCTGATAGCAAGGTTTACCCCTCGCAACACATGAACTCTAAGCAGACCCAATAAATTCTCCATGGATACAACCAAAATTGAGTCAATGATCGGAAGCAAGCAGACCTTGAAGACTAGGAAATAAGATTTTTTGGTGCTGGGATTGGGTTAGGTAATTGCTCGGCGGGGTCAGTTGTCTGAAGAACGACCCTGTCGCTGCCGCCTTATAAAGGAGAGGATACTGTCCAAATCCACCAGTCAATTTTTCAGTCCTTATAAATATATTTTTCTCTTTAAATATTCTTATTTATTAATTACTTTAGATTTTTGACTCGGTATGGGTAAGTTGGTAACTAGAAAAATATATATTTAATTATTTATTGACGTGTAATTTTAAGAACTTGAAAAATAGGCAGCGTAAAAAGATAAAGAGTAAAAAATGTAAATAAATTATAGGGATTAAATTACAATTCAGTCCTTAGATTTTTTATGTAATTACAACTATATTTATTAATTTAAAAAATTATAATATAGTTATTATATTTTAAACCAATAGTGTAATATACTTTAAAAAATAAAATTTTTATTGTTCAAAATTATTTTTTGAAGATAATAAATGTCAAACTTTTCTAAATACAAATACAAAATTCTGCATAAAATTTAAAAAATTTAAGCACGTAGATTTTTTTTTACAAAAAAAAATAACCTCTGTTAGTAAAAAATATAAATTCATATTATTTTCGTATTCGAAGCAGATAAAATATTGTTTAAATTTTATAATTAAATATTCAAATAAGTAATTAAATTTAAGTAAAAAAATATTAAATATTAATTAAAATAAAATGTAATTTAAAATAATTTATTTAATAATAAATATAAAATTCTTTACCTATATTTCGTAAGGGGGTCAATTTCGCCGGCAGCCCTCGGATTTCATATTACGTGCGACGCCGCGCGTGGTGGGAACGCGCAGGAGCGTTTTCGCCGACTCTAGTTGACTCACCCATTTGATTTTTCTTTTTCTCTTTTTTTTTTTTTTTTCTCGTAGGTACTTTGTTTTTTCAAGTTTTATCAAATTCGTCCTCGAAACTTTTCTATTTGCAAAATTAAACATTTTTAATTTAATTATTTTATAAGTTAAAAAATTTTTAGTTAATAAATAAAATTCTTGAAATACATCGAATAAAATATTTTTTACGATAGCACTATGAATAACGCATTGCGGAGCAGCACCCAATACACCCGCAATTTCCATCATATGAAATGGGTTTAATATTCAATTATGAAACTCCCGAAAAAAAAATAATGAATCGAAATATAATTGTTACATCGAAATTAAATGCAAAGAATTAATTATATTTACTTAATGGGTAAATAAAAAAAATATATAAGTATTTGTATTTTTTATTAAAAAATAAATTAATAGGTAAAAATAAAAAAATAAATAACATGTAGTAATTTTTTTAAAGAAATTAAATTTATATATATAATCAAATTAACTTATAAGATACTTTTAACAAAAAATAATTCAAAAATAACCCATTAACATTTTGGGTTGACTTTTTTTTTTTTTTAATTTCTAACAATGTAGAAACGATAAAAAGAATATTTTCTACTCCTAATCGAAACAAAGGTAAAGAATATAAATTAATTAATTAATTAAATTATTTATTTATTTATATAGTTTTGTTTATAATCAAACAATAACTAGAATTAAGATCTTCTAGTCACCAACAACATTCCACTAGAAGACAAGACTTTGACTATGAGATCCACGTTCTGCCGGGTTTATTTGTAATTGCCCGCGTCACGAGCGAAATGGAGACCACAAATTTGTAACATGGTAAGTCTCTCCTTTTAGAGTTTAAAAGCATGTTATATATAATTTTTTAATTTAATAGTATATATTATAATCAGATAAATTTAATACTTACTATAATTTTATTACTGTAATTTAATTAATATATTAATAAATTAATTTCTTAATTCTATTGAAACAGACATTTCGGATCGATAATTTATAATTCATAATAAATTTTTCAATTATAAATAATAAATTTGATTTCTTACGGAATAAGATTATGTATGCTCGGGGATAGGGGGAACTAGAACTCAACTGAATATTAAAAAGATATCGCGTAGAATGCAATTATACTAAAAATAATAATATTATTATATTAAATATTTTATAATTTTAAACTAAAAAAATACACATTCAAGTGCTTTTAATATAGTTTTTTATAATAAAATATTATAATTAGATATTCATAATTTATATCTATTTATATATATATATGGGGAATCAATTTTATTTTTTGCTATGGTGTGGATTTATAGTACATTTTATTAAGAAAATAAATAAATAAAAAGTAAGCAAAAGTGAGCAAGTAGAAGGTTCTGCGTGAAGTGGTTTAACGGATTGCCGGGTAGCTTACGGACAGAGCACATGGGAAGCCTGATGTTGGCTTTCAGGAGATCCGTGCACGTTAAATGTGACGGAAATGCATGAACACTCGGAAGTTTCCTGGAATTTTCTCATTTCTAGTGTGAAAATAATTAAATAATTGAATTGTTTTAATTTATTCAAAAAATTTAAATATAAAAATAAAATTTAATTTAATTAATATAATTTGTATATTGTATATTTAATTTTAAAATTATAATTTGTGCATAGCAGGAGATAGTGTGTGTGTATATATATATTGCAAAAAATGAGTCCGACAGGCTTGGGCTCACGTCTTAGAACCAAAGGGCCGGATAGTGATTTTATTGGACCATACTCACTGGAGGATGTGGAGCCCGTTGCCCCACGGCCCGATCATTAGATATCCAGCACGTGCTACTATCTCTCCCCGAAGTCGAATAAACCTGCGTCTCCCATCTTTTTGTTCCACGTGTCAGCTTGTTATAACACCACGTGTCAAGGCGAACAACTCAACACGCTTTCCTGCCACACACTCGCTGAGTCAGTCACTCACTCATCTCCCCCTTCCCACCTATAATTATAAATTATTGAACCACAATGATTTCTCTCTTATTCGAATACTTATCTCCGACAATTCAAAAATTTTCAGGTAAACATTTCTCCGGCAAAGTTCAACTACGATTAGGAGAAATATCTGTGCGCAGAAGTTTGATATCATATATGCGTTGTTCATGACTGTATCGAGTTGCTTGTTTGATTAGATGACTGCCTTTTTAGACTGTAGATATTAGAACTGAGCTCGATTTAGGATTTGCGCCGACCTAATTATTTCAGTAATTAGGAGAAGTGTCTACAATTAGGAGAAATATCTGTGTGCAGAAGTTTGATATCATATATGCGTTGTTCATGACTGTATCGAGTTGCTTGTTCGATTAGATGACTGCATTTTTAGACTGTAGATATTAGAACTGAGCTCGATTGCATTTAGGATTTGCGCCGACCTAATTATTTAAAGTAATTAGGAGAAATATCTACAATTAGGAAAAATATCTGTGTGCAGAAGTTTGATATCATATATGCGTTTGTTCATGACTGTATCGAGTTGCTTGTTTGATTAGATGACTGCACTTTTAGACTGTAGGAATTAGAACTGAACTCGATTGCATTTAGGATTTGCACCGACCTAATTATTTCAGTAATTAGGAGAAGTATCTGTGTGCAGAAGTTTGATATCATATATGCGTTTTTCATGACTGTATCGAGTTGCATGTTTGATTAGATGACTGCATTTTTAGAATGTAGATATTAGAACTGAACTCGGTTGCATTTAGGATTTGCGCTGACCGAATTATTTCAGTCATTATGCACTTATTACTTTTGGTTGGAAGTCTGAAATCTCTCTTTCACTGATGGATGAAGCTTAAGGAAAATTGTAATTTTGTTTCTCTTTTTCTACAGAGGGTTGTCAAACATGGAGAGAGGTGTTATGGGGTAAGAAGCGTTTATAATTGTTTATATGTAGATTGTGAATGCCTACTTAAGTTAGGTGGAGAAACCAATTGCATTCTATTCTGGAAACCTATATGTGCATTCATGGACGACGTGTTTAGTCTACAATTTCGAAAAGATCAAAACTGTGCCCTAACGTTAACAAAATCAACAGGCTATATTTTTGTTGATTTGGCCACTTTATGTTGTTTGTGCAGATCAATTGTCTTGTAGAAGTAATTAGAACATCAACATAGAGTGCATAAGTATTTTATTCATATTGCCATATAGAATTTTGTTTGTGATGTCACTTTTATTTATTTATGTTTTTGGTAGATTAACTTTCCACCACACAAATGCAATTAACACATAAATTCAAGTATTTGTGGTTCAACTTTCTAATTCAATGTTTGCTTCAGTATGAAGCAAGCTTATAAGTCTCAGCTGATCTTTCTGTTGTTTCAGAAAATAAGTTACTTTCTGGCATGTTTTCTTTTTCCTTCTCCCTTTTTTGAAAACTCTCTCTTTATTGTAGTCTTATTTTCTTTTAGTGGTAAGAAGTATTATAAATTTTTGCATTTAGCTGTTGTTCTTATTAGTCACTGTATTATTTTGACAGGTGTTGTCTTGATAAACAAACACCATCATTTTTATGGTACCTAAGAACATTAGAGCAGAGGAATATTCGCAATCTCTCACTAAATGTGGCTGCTTTGAATACGAAAATAAGGTGCCAAAAGCTTGCTCGTTATCATGTGGCTTTGTTCAAGAAGGATACCGTAAGCCATATTCCTTGGAGGACATATTCCTTGCCTGTTAGTTTGGAAGAATCTTCATCAGGACAGCCAGAAGATTATTTGAGAGATGAGGGACAAACATCTAATGATTCACCCACAAATTCTCCTGCTCAACCATTAAGCAGTGATGAGGTTAGCTTTGAATATTGCTAGTTATACTATCATTGCAAGTAGGAAGGAGGAGGAGAATCATGTTATAGATAGGGAAAATTTCACTAGATATTTTCTGATATCATCTTCTTACAAACGTTGGGTTATTTACACTACTACTAGCTGGTGCAGTATAATAAATGGCTACAGCTGGCATTCAACCTGAATCTACCACGGACTATAAGTCAGTTATAACCAAATTTGCAGAAAACATGCCAAGTGCGGAATAAAACAGCCTTCTACGGCAGACTAATCTAACTAATTGGAATTTCTTTCGCAATTATTGGGGTTCTGATAAAATATAATAGAAATTTAGATAAAAATAGCAATCTAATTCTAAGTCAATTATATGACCAATTCAAATTAAGTGTCTATGTGATTCCTTGGTTGGAAGGTGGAAAGATAAATTTCATGGTTGTAGAATTGAAAACAAGAATGAAGTTTGTTTAACTATGCATTAAATGTGCAAATTATGACTAATTTTTCACATTAAGCAATGAAGATCTAGGAATTGAACAAGAATAGAATTGGTCTGAACCATATCCGTAGTAAGTGAATTAAGTTGGATTTAAGTTACATGCTTTGCATGTTAAATGGAAGATTTCAAGATTTACTTATTTATGTTTACCTCCAACAGTTGAAGTTGCTGCTGACTGATTCAGAAAGATCAAAGCTCACTAAAAAGCTCAGTGAAGCCAATCAACAAAATCGCTTCCTCAAGCGACAGGTTTATACATTTCCATACTTCTGTGTATTTTCTATAACTAGTCTTTGTACGTGAATGATATAATTCACAAATACCATTATGTTATACTTGTTAAGGTTACTGGTTCCTTATGCTCAATGTCTCTGTTTGTATGATAATAGCTGTGTAGGCAAAAATTTTTAAAGCATTATTCTTTTCCATTCATTTACCTGTAACATCTATGACTAAACACGGAAAAGAAAGGAAAATCTAATACAAATGTATGTCAATAGCCCAAGGATTTTAAATCGAAATTAATACAGGTAGAAATGGGTAATTATTTAGGAAAATCTCTGTATTCTATTCATATGAAGATTATAGTATTACCTAAAAGTTTACAATGGACATTTTGTGTTCATCTATGCAAGATGTCATATCAGAGGGCTCTTGATGTAGGACAATCTTATTTTCTTTTGTTGTAAAATTTTTCAGTACTTCTATTTCTACTAAAAAGGAAATTAGATCTTCCTATTCTTTTTAGTGTAAAATTTCTCAAGATGTTTATTTTACTTAGATGGTTCTGCATCATTTCTCTCATTATTGTCCACTTAAGATTTTTCTATTCTGCATCAGCTCTATATTGGAGGATTGAGATGTTTTAATCTTTCTTTTCCAATATCCATTTCTCTTATGTTTGGCCGTCAGAGTGGGGTTGGGTTACTTATCAGATTGACTACTGTCATATCTTGCTATGCGTATGCTGAAATAAGTATCCAACAATCAAACTTAAGAAACAATGTGATGCAAGATTAGCTAATTGTCTGCAGTGAAGGGAGACTTGGCATCTGTAGCACAAAACAGAAACAGTTTGTGCGACTCATTCTTTTCCAGGATTCCTTTTTAGAATAACCTCCTTTTCTAATATTGGTTATATTCAGCTGCTTGCAAAGGAGGATGCATTAATCAACTTCAAAAGTGAACTTGCAGTCGTGGAACTTGAACTTCAGGTCTGTTGGCTTATCTTCTAATTATTTCCTCATCCGTTGGTTTCCTCTTTGATTTCTTTTTGTGAATGAAAAAGCATAGATTTTTATTCTTATTTATCACCGAAACCAATATTATCATATATCAATCCAATCATAAACTGGCCTGGAAAATTGTCAAAATCTCTTAACTAGTACATCATTTCTTTCTTCTTGATGGTGACCCCTCAAAAGTAGGTATCTTTCAAATGATTAAGAAAATATTTAACCGCGGAAGACAAGTGAGGGAGTTGTCTGAACTGTTACATCATTGAAATCACCAGCCTATGATCATCAGATCTCACAACAGGACAAAGTATTGTGAAAATTTTCTCAAAGTATTACTTATCAAATAATTAGACAAAATACTACTGAAGTGCAAGCACCACAGTCAATTAGCCAATGTTTCTGGAGGGATAGTATGGCTTGTTTGGCTCTAGGAATGCCAGAGTTTACCTTTTTTTTTCCGTCACTCTAGCTGCACAAGAGCTCATCATCGATGACTTTGCTTATTTGGCCTGAGAGAAATCATTATCCAATTTTAATCACTTGAAGTAGGTTTTGGACCTATAATTGCTATTGGAGGGTGAGCATCATTTTTATTTGTTACTTCAAGTTCTCCATTCAGTAGCCTCTTATTATCCATGGAGTTCCACTTCGCCTGAACTTAAGCTTTTGCTCATGTACTTAATGGTGATATTGTATCTTTGGGTCTATAATTATGGTACATTGCTCTTTAATTCTTCTTTAAATGAATAGGCTTTGGTCACATTGGCAGAAGAAATAGCTCAGTCTGGCATTCCAGAAGGTTCAAGGAAGATCAATGGAAGATACATCCAATCTCACCTTCTCTCCCGGTTAGAAGGTATTATCAAGTTTCCATGTTTTCTTTTGAGAACTATTTCTTCCTCCTATTTAAGTGGTGTTAGTTTCCTTTGCAGAATCAGATGGATTTATTCTCAATATTGTTTATTTGGAAGAGAAAATTGTACTTAGATCTAATGCAAGGAGTTTTAGATATGAGGTTAAAATGCTGTAAATGAAGGGAAAAAGATCAAAGATATTGATGATGATGATAGAGAATGGAGAAAGTTGATGACCATGAAATTAAGGAAAAGGATAAGAGAACACCTAGCAGATGAAGGAGAAGCATAACAGCACCTGCTGAGCACGGAAAAGTGGTGGAGAGACTATGCTAACCTGTTAAAAAGTTTCAGAACGTGTAGTGGAGAGAAAGCACCTGTTTGACATATAGTGGCAACCAGGAGAAGAGAACAAACCGTTCAACATGCAAATAGGAAAAAACATGTCCAGCCTGCAATTGAAGATGAGAAAATGAAAAGAATCTCAAGTTGGGCAGAAAGTGAAATGAACCAAAATAGTGTTGTTTTGGAAGGCTGAGGTTGAGAAAAGCAAAACAGGCTAGGTGTTGCACTTATGAAGCGCCTGGCCTACTTCTACTTATAAGAGAAGAAGAAGGGAAGTAGATAACTAAGAAAATCTGTATTGTCTGTTTCAGTTAACTTACCTCTGAAACATATTCTGATGCTTTCATTTAGTAACTAAACACTATTTTGTGTTCTTTATTGAATTTCTAACAACTTCTCCTGTTCTTCATATTGTTTAATTTTAAAGCTGTACAAGAGAAGTTAAAGGAACAGATTAAGGATGTAGATGCTGCACAATCCAAGGAGGTCTCGGTAATCTGGTGTGGCATGGCAGAGGTAAACATTCAGGAATATTTAAAAATACCTCAGAATTTGCTTCATCATGAAACTAGTGTGTTTTAACCAATGTTTCTTATTGCGCTTGACCGCAAATCAATTGATTGCTGTATCTCTAGATTCATTAGTTTTAGTCACATTCCAAATCTCAAGAACTTGTTTGAGTTTTTTGTGGAAACTTCTGTATGAGCTAAAGAGTTGCTGCTGGGACTAAAATATCAGTGAAAAAAGTTGTGATTTGTCTAAGAGCTAAACTGGTGGCAACCATTCGCTGGGTTCCCTAATAACAATCAAACTCCAAAATTCAAACTTTAAACAAAGGAATCAAGCTTTTAATGAATTATGAGAAAATGGAGCTCTTTGGTTCAAACCTCTTAAAAGATAGTCAAGTGCTATCAAAAAGAAGCATATCACCTTTTAAGTTTTAAGATTGTAGTGTTGATTCTTTCTCCATCCTGTTGAGATGTAAGGAAGAATCTTTCAATACTTCCATAAGAGAAGTAGATGCCTGCAAGGTTAAGGTCTAATTCAACCATTGTTATTATCTTTTTGCCCTACACGGCAAAGTTTGTTAGTGACAGCAACAGTTTCATGAAGCTTTCAAGAGAAATAGATTAAGGCTAGACAGGAAACCATTAGATAATCAAGTTCATGCTAGGACAATAAGATGAATATTTATTTTCTCACTTAGGAAATTAATAAATAAATAAATAAATAAAAATGAAGAAATCATTTCTATGATATTGGTGGTAGAAAAGTGACTGTTAAAACAAAACAAAATTATGAAATTTAGATAGCAACTTTGTTCCCTTTTTTGCTGGGAGAAATCTGTTTTAGTTCTTGTTATGAACTTAAGAGGATTCTTGGAATTGCTTATTTACTACTTGTAAGCAGTCTTATACACTCTACTGTAACTCACTGTTTGGTAACATAAAACACAATGTGGTTGTTAGGTTTGTAAAAGTGATTTTAAGAAGTTGAAAATAAGCACCACATTTCTAACTTTCGAGTTCTTTTTTTCTTTTATCTAACCAATGTGCTTAACTTTTCTCTTGCTATCATCATAAAATTAAAGCACGTTTATTAAAACTGCTAATTTTTGCTGTCAATCATTTCTTAGCAAGTTTATTTTTTGTATGAAAATTTTTCCTGCTTTAAGTAACTTAAAGCACTAGATGCTTTGAGGAAACTTCTTTCAACAATCACCAGCACCCTCTTAAAGCTTTAACATGTCAAAATGCGCTTAAATTTTTCTTTTTATCCTTTTATCCTCCATATAAAAGCATATTTCTTTTCACAGTCTCCAACTTCAGGCAGTGCAGCTGATAAAATCTCACCACTTCACCGCTCTCTCTCTCTCTGTGGCTGGAGGATTCTTTTTTTCCTTTCTTGTTTTACTATGATTCCGTTATTTCATGAAATTAATCATTAATACGTTCTTTCTTTCTGTTTATAGTCTGATGATTTGGTTGCGTTTTATACTTGGGTTTAATATACTGATAGGCCACTAACAAAGAAAGAGGAAGTCCATTAGGTTCATCCTCATCATTTATTTTCTTTTAATATCCTCGCCATTATTTATGGAAATACAGGTAGAGGAAAGTTTAGAAAATGACATTTAGTACATTTTTTTTACATTTTACTAACCAAATATTTTAAGGGAATAGATTTTTTAAGCCAGTCTTATGTATATGAAACACCTATATGTGATCTTCTCATATAGTAGCGCATTTATTTCTATCTTGTTATGTTCCTACATTTCACCAAATGCTACCTTAGTTATATATGGAACTTATTGTTTCTTCATGAGGCATTAGAGTGTACAAGTAATGGGCACATTTGACGGCTGGAGTCAGGGGGAGCACTTATCGCCAGAGTATACTGGTTCCTTTACTAAATTCTCCACCACATTGATGCTTAGACCTGGAAGGTACAAATTCATGATTTGGTTTTCTCAGAACATAATACTTGATACACTATCCTTGTAGTAGTTTCTCCACATCATTTGTTCTCAGACCTGAAATATAACATCTTCTTCAGTCTTTCTGACCTGATCTACTTTTTGAAGGTATGAAATCAAATTTTTAGTTGATGGAGAGTGGCAGCTATTTCCTGAATTTCCTACTGTTGGTGAGGGATTGATGAAAAATAACTTGTTAGTGGTGGAGTAGCTTCAGGTCACCTGTTCTAATTTCATTACATTTGTAGAGTAACTGATACGAGTTACTTTCGCCTAACTCATTGCTTCTACTTATTTATTGTTTATCTGATAAGCATTATTCAAAAAAAAAAAAAAATGTTATCTGATAAGGAGGGAGGGTCTAAAGCTGCAAAATTATGAGAAGATTTTGTATATATGAATAAAAAGGAACTGTTTTTGTTTACTTGAAGTACAATTTCTTTTTCTTTCTTTGTTTCGTGCTTCTTTCTTTGTTTCTTTTTCTCTTAAGTAAACGAGAAAGGTAAATTTGATTTAGTTGCAAGGGTTAAATTCAAAGACTGTTTGAGGAAGAGGAGATTAGAAAGGTTGCTTGAGAACTAGGGACTGATAGAGAACATTGCAGACAATTTTTCTAATACTTTCTTCCAAATTTATCAGGAGTTTGTGAAAAGAGATTTACTCAAGATCTTTTAGAATTCTATTGAATGGGAAGATGGGGATTAGCATGCTCTCTACCTCTATAACTCTTGAAGGCATGATACTCTTTCAGGTATAGAACATGGAAAACCAGGGAAATCCTGATCTTTGGTTGAAGTTGCAATTTGTAGGCAACCTGCCCTTCCTGTGTTTTGATTGGAAATGGATCATCACAGCCTGGAGCTAGTTCTTGAGAAGTCTCGTTGGCCTAATGTTAGTTGGCAATAGGGATGGACTTAGAGGACACAAATCACCCATGGTTGATTGAGCTTGCAACAGATGAGCTCTCAGCTCCCTGCAAGACATGGTCAGAGTTTTGGGTTCATGTCTACTGCTTCGAATGTGGCAGTACCTAGGTGATAAGATAGAATGTATGGAGAAAAACGACCATATACTCCCCAAAATGGTATAGTTCTTAAAGGAAAAAGGAAGCTGGTGATGTGGCAATATTAGCCCAAGGGAGTAACACATCCCAAAGGCTAGGGCAGTCACTAGTGAAGCAGTGGAGGTACATTTGAATTACCCAGTTGACTACCTTATCTGACGATTTGTTTGAGAGTGGTATGTCGAGCTGAATTGGAGGTTGGTACTCAGACAATTGGAAAAGTTCTTTTCAAAACGTGCTTGTGAAAATTACATCCCTATCGGTGACAACTGCTTCAGGAAGTTAATTGGAGTTGTAAAACATTGTCAAAAGAATATTTGAGATGCACTAGTTGTTGTGGTTTATCGACAACATCTTTGACAACTTTTACACTACTTATAACCATGATTATCACACTTGCAGCCTTGAGTCATTGAGTGTTTACACGTATAAATTTTCACTTGGAGTTTCTCATTGGCAACCTAATATCTATTCCAATACGCTATCCCATAATTTTGGAAAGGGGAAAACTCCCTCTAAGATTATGAGAAAAGATAAAGGATCCAAATCTTGTGTGGTAAGAGAAGTGCTTGTAAGAAACATCTAAGTGATGAGACTTAAGTGTTGAAGACTTCGAATGATCCAGCCCTTCATCTTGGTGTGAGGTGTTTGTCTTGGCTGGTGTAGTTGTTAATGAAACTTATTAGAGAACTAAAGAACCTCATTTTCACTGAAAAGCACTTATAACCTGTGTCATTGTTGCATCCTTTGGAGAAGGAATTAGTGAGCATTAGTTTTTATTTTGTAAGCTTGTACATGTTTATGCATTTAAAAGTATTGAATGGTGTATATATTTATACGTAAATTAATCTGTGGAATCTGATGCCTTTTGTCTTTTAGTCAAATAGGGGTTGTTGGCCGTATACTATCTTCATCTTGATGGAAGGTGATGTCTTGGCTGGTGTAGTTGCTAATGAAACTTATCTGAGGAATTTAAAAACCTCAGTTTCACTGACAAGCACTTCTAACCTGTGCATTGGAGAAGTAAATAATGACCATTAGTTTTAATTTTGTGAAGTTTCTACGTGTTTATGCATTTAAAAAGTATGAATGGCTGATATATTTATACGTAAATTTATATGTGGAATCTGATGCCTTTTTTGTCTTTTAGTCAAATAAGGGTTGTTGGCTGTGTACTATCTTCTTTCCGTCCTGGATCGGTGGCTATTCTTTTTATTCTTTTTAAACTCAAAAGCACTTTTTCATTATTGCTTTTATTATTATTTCTTTTAGTCTTTTAGACATGTTTTACTTATAGATATATATATATATATATAATATGAATATAGTAAATGAAGAGTGGAAAACTTCTTCGTAATATCATAGCAATAGATATATGGAAGTTTCTGTTTGGCTTAGTTTCTGCTTAGTTTCTATTTTGTTTCTTTCGCTGAAAAAATAGAACATTAGATAGTTTAATTTACCTTTACTCTTATCTTCTCTCCCATCTTAATTTCTCAAGCCTATCTGGTTCTTATTTTTTTTCATTTTAGCATCACAACTTGCATTAACACGTCCTGACACTGATTTAGATGTGGACTGCAATCTGTTAAATTAATTGAGTGTAAACAGTGATAAAATTAAGTGCTTCCCAGAGTATTTTGTGTTCTAAGGTAATTAATAGCGTGAGAAAATAGAAAATCCTAGATGTTTTATAGGTATGATTCTTACTATGTTAAATTAATTGAACTTTGTAATAGAGCTTATTTGAAATATTCATTCTCAGGGAAATGATACTGCTTATAATCCATCATGATATCGTTTGCTTATGGATACCAACAGAAGAGGTGTTGCTCTGTATACGCATAGGACAGTATTTGCTAATGAGTGCGGATTAATTTAAATTCGACACTTAGATGTGTGTGTATTCGGTAGGAACGAAGTCGCAAGGTTTAGCTTAGACATTCTCGTTTAACCTTTATATATAAACGGCATCGTTTAAGCATTGAGAAAAAAAATATATACTTTAGGAGAAAATTTTGAATATTTTTATATAGTTTTAAAGTATCTCAATATTTTAGCCTCCAGAGTTTACTAATTCTTGAATGTCTCAACATTTAAATTTTGTCCTATTAGTACTCAAATCAATTTTATGCATTGTTACCAATTAGTAACATGTATATTTTTATATAGACAAAAAAACTAGTTTAAATTTTTTATTCCGTTGTAATTATTTAATTAAAAATATTTAATCATTGAAATATTTGTTTCACTTAAATATTTTATACTTTGTTACGATGAAAAATCAGTTATAATTTTATTAATACATTAATAAATTAAATATTACGAATCGATCATTATAAAATTATAATATATTTATAAATTAATAAATTTTTTAGTAAAATTTAAAATATTTTTAAAAATAGTGTAAAGATTCTAGGCATCTCTACATATATAAAGATTGTGTTATTTTCCAACATGTTTATATTTAAACCTTGACACCATGATTCGTGCCTCCGATATAATATAAACTTTGTAAACCAGCCATTAAAAATACAACCCTGTATTCCATTATTATTCAGAGGAGAAGAACCAATTCAAAAAAAAAAGACATGTTGACTCCTTTTGTTACGAGCAGGAAACTTCTCCGAAACTTCAACATTCTAATAAATTAAATTTCGATTTGTCTCGTCTGATTGAATCATTCTTTTTTTTTTTTTCTTCTGGTTTCGAGATCTGTCTTTTTCTCTCTCAAATACGAAATATTTTAACTTCTAAAATAAATAATGAAATTATTTTTCTTTTGAGCGTATAATTAGATTAGTTTTATTTAAATAACAATTTAAGTCTTACGTAAATCATATATATTTATATATATTTCAGCATAAATGAGCAGCTCTACTTAAAAAAGTATTAAAATTTACGAAACACGAACATACTTGTTATGTCTAGATAATTAAAAAAGTGGATGATTGAAAATAATTTTTTTATTTATGAAAATATTTTAAGAATTAAAACAGCTTATTTAATTGTAATTATATTCCAGTGTTAAACACCTTGAAATTAGCAAGTTTTTATATAATATAGTTCTACCAAATGATTGAACTTAAAAGGGTAGATCCGATTGCCAATGAACTTGTGCCGTTGACTAAAAAAAGTTGATGTCATCAATATATTAAGTGATAATATATATATATATATATAGAGAGGATGTATTCACATATATATATATATATGGCATGCTAAATTGCATCAAATTTGCTAGGAGAATAAGATGCCAAAACCGATGACGACCTTGATTATCGAAAAGATTAACTCACTTTAATTCAGAGCCATTTTGGAATATATGGCTCTATTTGGTATACAAACGAATGTATATATATATTTCAAATTGCATTAGATTGTGGTTTGATTGTTTTGAATGAGTTTTTAATGCAACTAAATTAAGTTTTTAAATCAATTCTAAATTTATTTTGAGTTTAATATTAACAATTATTAAAATAATCATATATATATATATATATGAGGAGATGATTTCCGTAATTTAAAATTCTTTTTAAACATTTAATTAGTGGTAATTAAAATATGAGGAGATAATTAAGCCGACCATAACTTTCTCTCCCTCAATAATACCCTTGTTTAATTATTTTTAATATTCCATTGAAACCTTAAAATGAGATCATTACCAACTTAATTGTTTTATATACACCATTTTCTAAAGAATAAAAACTACTTCACTTAAAATATATATATATATAATTATTATTAAAAAAATTTATTTAAAAATAAAATAATTTCGTTAAAATTTGACTCGAATTAATTATCGAAGTTCTTCAATACTAATGAATTTATCTATCTTCACTTATCTAAAATTTTAATTATATATATATATATATATATTACTAATACAAATAGAATAAATAATCTAAGTCATGTACATGTTTTTAGTTTATCAATCTTCAATACTATATGTTTGCGTATAATTATAATTGGAGTCTATTAATTTCTAGTAATAATTTATTTTTTTTTTCATAAATTAAAATTATTTTTAATTACTTATTTACAAAATATGTTGTTGTTCGTATTTTTAGTTTTTCTTATTTTGCTGTACTCTGTGAACTAAAGAATACCCAATTTAATTTAACTACACATAATTATATTTTATATATATTTTATGTTAAAATTATATATAATGTGATGATTCGGAACTTAAAAGTAAATAGAATAATAAATAGAATGCAGAAACGAAATAATAGAGTTAGGATTTACATTCCTTACACAATAATTTAAAATACCCAATAGAATTACGGGAATGACTTTTCTAAAAGAACAAACGAAAAATTAAAGAAATAAATGGAAAGTAAACAACTGAGTATCCTATTCACAACCCTCTTGTGTATCGAGATTTGAATCTTGGTTTTCTTGATTTGAAATAGTTAATCAAAGAATGAGTTACGCTAACCCAGTAAAAATGTCACATTACTCACCGATATAGAAATGAAGATTGGTAAAAATAATAAAACAAACTAATAAAACTCTTAATTTAAGTAAATTCATTTGTTATAAATAAAATTATTTATTACATACTTACCGTAACGAGATTTTCAAACTGACCTAAAGATTCAATAACACAAACACCATCATAATCTTATTTTCAATTAGCCAAAATAACAACTTTCTTTTCTTATTTGCCTACTAGTATACATGGGGTCCATAGGAATGTCCCCACTCCGAGTGAATTCTTAATCAATATTGTCAACTAACCGGCCGTCTCCATACCCCGTCCGGTATGAGCTCTAAAAATACTATCCCTCAATACCTCGTCTGGTATGAGGGTATAACGATCCGTCCTCATATCTCGTTCGATATGAGCGCCAAAAATATCATCGCTCAATACCCCGTCTGGTATGAGGGTGAAATGGACTGTCCTCATACCCCGTTCGGTATGATTACCACAATATCAAATCTCGATACCCCGTCCGGTATAAGATAACGTTCACGGTAGGGTTCCTTATATATTCGGTTCGTCCACCATCTCTCAGGATATCCAATAAGGCTGTCGTTCATTCATTCACTAAATCAAACAATTTTTCATTTACATTTAATTTTTAATTTTACAATTTAACTATAAATCACACAAAACAAACAATATATGCATCAAGAAAATACAACTAAATCATCTTACCAACTCCGGTGTATTATTATGCATTTAAAACTGTAAAATTAATCAATCAGTTAAAACAGGACAAACAGTAATAAATAACCAGTTCCGGCTCCATTAATAACTTGTAATTAATTATCGAAGTTTTCTAAATTACGCAAAATTCCGTATTATTTATAATTAAACTTCAATTCCATAACAGGTAATAAAGTGATGATTCTTACTCGAATCGGTATCTGAAATACTAAACTTTCAGTTATGCCTACTAGTAGTCCTCGGGTTTTCTGAATTTTGCTTCGGAGATTAAAACACGCTTCAAGTACCTAGAAATACCCTAAAAAATCTAAAATCGATGTTAAAAATATTTTTTTCAGCAAATTTTAGAATTCCGACACGATAGCACCGTCGGCCGTGACGGCAATTTGCCTTGGACTGGACATTTTCGGCCGATTTTATACTCATCCATGTGAGAAAATACGTTAAGGGGCCTTGGTTGGCTGAAAAAAGTCGAAAAACAAAAACTCCCCAGCGGTGGGATTTTCTCGTGTGGCGGCTCCGTCGGCTCACATTTGCGGTTGAGTGTTTTTCTTCGGTCAACCTGTAAAAAATAGAATGGTGATTACATTGGTGAAAAAATTGTACGAAATGGGAATAAGGAAGGGGCTCATCGGAGGAGGTTTTTCGTTTTTTCTGCGGCAGCACCACCAGGCTTTATCCACAGTGTTCGTCTCATCCGCTGGTCCTTTTACTTCAATTTGGCTATGGAGGTGTTCAAAATCAAATTTCGAGCGAATAAAATTTTTTTACCTTTTTTGGCGGTCGGAGGTGCCTTCGGTGCGGCGGCAGACGATGATCGGTTCCCTTCTCCGGTGACTGATTCTTCTTCTCTGGCTGAGGGCTGGCTGTTAGGGTTAACGTTCAGTGTGAAGTGATGTATTTATATCCGTCTCCCTTTAATCTGGACCGTTCATCGCGTTTGATCTCGACTATCCGATCGCGCTTAAAGAGAAAATGAATCTAAACCATTCATCGCGATTTGATCTTGACCGTACAATCATCTTTAAAGAAGAAATAAATCTAGACCATTCATCGCGTTTAATCACGACCGTCCGATGGCGTCTGAGGAGGGAACGGATGCCAGATCGTCTACGCGCGCGGGAACAAATCTGGACTGTTTGATCGCGGGCAAGCGGATTGCCAGCATGGCCTCCTGCATGGCACCAAGTTAGCGTGCCTTGCCACACGGCGTACTCCGGTTCGTCGGGGATACTGATTGGACAGTTCTACATGACACATTTTTCTTAAATTACGTTTTGATCCCTAATTTCCAATTTTTTTTTTCAAAAATACTCCCCGAACCCAAATTTTCACACTTTTTTTCTAAAATTATTTTCAATTTCACCCTCCACGTATTTTTTTCTAATTTTCACATTAAATAAAAATTTAAAAATTATATTTATATATATATATCTGTTTTTATTTTTTTATTTTTTTATTTTTTTAAAATTAATCCCGGACCAAATTTCAGGCCCGGGTATTACATATAATCAAATAATTTAACACTCATTTTATATAATTAAAAGATTCTTAAGATTAACTGTTAAAATTGCTTTTGAATTTAATAACAAGATATTTCAACCAAGTATGTTTAGATTCTTAATTACATAAAATGATATAGTTACCAATTATCCTAAAGATAATAATAATAATTTAGATACATGTGCATGCACTTGTGTTACACGAGCAAAATACTTAACCCACATGAGATTTAAATGTAATCAGGATCCAAACATATTTCCATAGCTATAAATTACTAATCATTATTTTTAGCAGCACAAATTAATAAATTGGGTAGCATTAATTTAAATAATACTTCGATTAGGTAGCATTAATCCTATCGTATTAATGAATAATCTTGGTAAATTTGGACATTATTTATGAAGGCAAATGAATGATTATTATTAATTAAGATGGAGTGCTTAATTAATATTTTCATTAATGATTAAATTAGATATTAATATTCCTCAAGAAAAATTATTTATTAATGTTTATTTAAATATATATATATATATATATATATTCATGTAATTAGCATCAAATATTGTATCCCAGTACTACCCTGTCAAAAGCTTCATCGGCTGTTTGTATCTGTACGTGCCACCTTGCTGAATTTTAGTATTTGTTAAAACACTATTTTTTTTTGAAGAAAAAATTATTTATAAATCGTCATTTAAAGAACAAATATTGTATTGTATATGTATGTATATATTTATATAGTACAGATTGATACGTTTTGTACACATTTAATATAACAAATATTGCATTATATATGTATGTAACTGCCTTTCAGCCTGCGACCAGCCGTGAAATCAGAGACGTCCGTACTCTCAAACCAACTATATAGAGAACCAATATATATAAATATAATATATATATATATATATGTGTGTGTGTATATGTATCAACTAATACTGAAAACCCAGTTGATATTTTATCCTTCTTTCTCTTCTGCTATTCCTTTCTTTTAAAAACCCTAATTCTCCATCTCTTCTTCCAGAAGATCTTTTTTTAAAAAAAAATTACTTTCTGTCATTTTATCTTACAGAGATATATAGACCCATCAAGTATTTGAATGGTGGAAACATATGATTCCTCCTTCATGCAATCTCTGTCTCCGAGAGCTATTCTCCCGCGTACTCTTCACGCGCTCTTCTCTTCTTCTGCAACCATTCCCGCAGGTTACTTACCCTCTTGGCCTTGCCCCTTAAACCTCCTCTATATATACATATATATATATATATATATGTGTGTGTGTACACGTTATATCTCTTCGCACTACTCTTTCATCTTAATTCATCTGGGGTTTTTGGCTTTTAACGTATGAATTATCAGAGAGGGAAAAAGAATGATGATAAAGATGTTGAAGAATGGAAGTGAACAAAATATGTTGCAGATGATCATGAATAATAATAAGAAGAAGAAGGAGAATAGTTCTCATGAGAAGAAGAAGAAGAAGAAGAAGAAGAATGACAAGAAGAGGTTGTTGGTGACTGTCAATTTTCTTGGTAGCGTAGGGCCTATAAGGTTTTTGGCTAATGAGGATGATGATGTTGCCGCTGTCATCGACGCCGCCTTGAAATCCTATGCCCGCGGAGGCCGCCTCCCAGTTCTCGGTCTCGACCCAAACAACTTCCTTCTCTACTGTGCTAACACTGGTTCGGACGGTATTATTTTATTTTATTTTATTTTATTTTTTAAATTTTAATTATATACGTTACGCGAATAACGTAAAATTAATTAAAACTATATTATAAAATAAAAAATAAAAAACAGAAACCTCAGTTATCGGCGTTGAGACAATAATGATTATTGACGGGAAAAAATTTAACGTGAATCTCGTAAATTAATTTTATTTTACTTATGTTTATGATTTATGAGCAAATTAAGTTTTTTAATTATATATTAGGGTCAATGATCAATTTTATTTTATTGATCAAACCTCAACCTCTAGTATAGAATATGACCAATTGGAATGAATTCTTTGTATATTGTATATATGTATATAAATAATTTGGTAGGTATGTCAGTTGAACAAGTTTTCTTATCAATGACACAACTCTCCATTTTGGCTGTGCTAAACATAACTCCCTTTTATAAACTTTCTAGTTAATTACTCATTAATATAATACTTGTGATCAGCTTAATGCTTCATTAATTAGTTAAACAATCCTGATTTAGTATTAATCCTTTTGGGTTATTTGTAGTTTTGAACCCATGGGAGAAAATTGGATCACAAGAGGTGAGGAACTTTGTGCTGTGCAAGAAGCAATTGCAAGGGGGCATGACAGAAGGAAGATCAGAGATGATGATAACTCAGAAAGGAAGTGGATGGAAGGCATGGCTCAACAAGTCTTTTAGTTTCAAGAGCTTATCAGCTCATTGAAAATAATTAGATTCAACATCTTGATCGTATGTAATTTTTACCTTTTCAAAAACTATCTTTGTAACTTTCTTGTCAGAATTAATCTCTTACACAAAAAGAAAAGGATATACATATATATATATATATAATCAACTACCCTAGCTAGCTAGTTGAGAATCAAGTCATCATCTATGAAAAGATCATATGGGTTTGCATATTTCAATTGGGTTTGTGTGATTGTAATCTCTCCGTATAATGTTCTATTGCTTTATATGATGCTATATATATAGATATATATAGATATACATAATAGCATTCAAATATATATATATATATAATAGCAGAGAGTGTTAATAATTGAGATAATTAACTTCCCTAGCTAGCTGGTAGAGAATTAAGTCATCATCTACAAAAAGATCGTATGGGTTTGCATACTTCAATTGGGCTTGTGTGATTTTCATCTTCCATATAATGTTCTATTGCTTTCTATGATGCTATATATAGATATGCATAATAGCATTCAATACATATGTATATAGATATATATAATAGCAGACAGTGTTAATAATTGAGAAATATATATATCAGAGGACACGTTCTCCATCAACAATCAATAATATATAATATGCTTTTGTTTTTAACTCTCTATTAATAGAATGGTATCTTTTTTAACATTCATCTATATATGTATAGCTTCTTTATTATTAAATTTAATGATAAATTACAATTTTACAAGTTACAGTTTATTTATTGTTATCAAAATGTAATAATTGACTAACTTGAAATTTTTTTTTTAGAAAAACAAACTCAATTACTAGATAAATCATCCGATCCGGCGTGATCTCAGTAACACAATTTTATTATTTTAATAACTATGATTTGTTTCGTCTCATTTTAATATATAATCATATTTATATTTTTTAAAAATTCACGGGTTTAACAATTCTCTTGTAAATGGCCGAAACTTAAAAGGAAATAAGGTCATGAATTAAATGCGAAAGCGAAATAATAGATTTTAGGGTTTACATTCCTCACATAATAATTTAGAATGTCCAATAGGGTTACGAGAATACACATTCTAAAAGAACAAACGAAAATCAAAGAAATAAACAAAAACAGATAATTAAGCATTTTAAGACAACCTTCACTAGTTTTTTAAGAGAGTGCGAGTGGTGAACTATTCACAACCCTCTTGTTGATCGAGATCTGGATTTTAGTTCTCTTGATCTGAAATAGTTAATGAAATGGTAAGATACACTACCCCAATAAAAATATTACACTACTCACCGATATAAAAACTGAAAGTTAGTAAAAATAATAAAAACAACCAATGAAATTCTTAATTTAAGTAAATTTATTTATTATAAGAAAAACTATTTATTGTATATATTTACCGTTACGAAATTTTTAAAATTGACATATAAAGGTAATAACTCAAATAACATTCTAATTTCATATTCAAGTGAGCAAAAATAACAACTTTTCCTTTTTATTTGCCTACTGATATCCCTGAGAGCTCATAAGAATGTTCCACTACGCGTGAACCAATATTTAATATTGTCGACTAACTGGCCGTTCTCATACTCCGTCCGGTATGAGCACCAAAAATATCATTCCTCAATACCCTCGTCTGGTATGAAGGTGAATCGATCTGTTCTCATACCTCGTCCAGTATAAGCGCCAAAAATATTATCTCTCAACACTTTGTCTGATATGAGGGTGAATCATGTCGTCCTCAAACCCGTCCGGTATGAGCGCAAAAAATATCATTCCTTGATACCCTATCTGGTACAAAACAACATTCATGGTAAGGTTCCCTATGTATCTGGTCCGTCCACCATCTCTCAGTATATTCAGTAAGGTCGTCATTCATTAATTCACATGACCAAACAATTTTGGTTTGCATATTAATTTTTAATTTTACAAATCAATCGTAAATCATGTACGACAAGCAATATATATATCAAGGAAGTACAACTGAATCATTCAATCATTCCAGTATATCATCATGTATTTAAAACTGTAAATTCAACAATCAGTTATACAAGACAATAAATGAATGACTAACCGGTTTCAGCTCCATTAGTAATCTGTAATTATTCTTAAAGTTTTTTAAATTACGCAAAATACAATATTATCGATTATTAAGCTTCAATTTCATAACAGAGAATAAGATGAGGGATTATTTCCTACACTGAACTTTTTACTGCGCCTACTGGTGGTCTCCAAGTTTCCTAAATTTTTCTGCATATATTAAAACACGCTTCACGTACCTAAAAATACCTTAAAAATTAAAAATTGATGTTAAAAATCCTTTTCCAGCCAATTTCAGGATTCCAGCACAGCAGCACCACCGTGCTCCGGCGACGACACTGTTGTTCGCCAAGGTAGTTTGCCTCGGTCTGGCCGTTTCGGTGAGTTTTGGCCGGTTTAAATCGTTTTTATACCAATCACTGTGAGAAAATACGTTAGGGGGACTCGGTTGGCCAAAAAAATCAAAAAACAGAAACCTACCGGTGGTGAAATTTTTTGGTGCGACAGCTCTGCCAGCTCACCTTTGTGGTTAGACGTTTTTCTTCGATCAATCTGTAGAAAACAGAATGGTGAACACAATTATGAAACAATTACAAGAAAATAAAAAACGAGAAGGAGATCATCAAATGAGGTTTTAGGTTTTACCCGCGGCGGCGCTACCAGACTTTGTCGCGGTTTTCAGGTCATCCGCTATTTTTTTTGCTCCAATTTGGCCATGGAGGTGCTCAAAATCAAATTCCGAACATATAGGAGAATTTTTTACCTTTTTTGGTAGTCAGAGGTGGCTCCGGCGCGGTGACGATCGGCAGTCGGGTCCTCTCTCCAGCAACTTGTTCATTTTCTCCAACAGGAATCTAGCGGCTAGGGTTTGGGTTCGGTGTGATGCGATATATTTATACATATTTCGCGTTAATCTAGACTGTTCATTGCGTTTGATCTTAACCGTTCGATCGCGTTTAAAGAAGAAATAAATTTAGACCGTTCATCGTAATTTGATCTCGACCGTCTGATCGCATTTAAAAAGAGAATGAATTTAGACCGTTCGTTGCATTTGATCGTGACCGTCTAATCGTGCCTGAGGAGGGAACAGCTCCGGACCGTCCACGCGCACCGCAACGCTTCCAGGTTGTCCGATCACGGGGTACGTGGATCGTCAGCGTGGCACCAAGTCAGCGAACCTTACTTTTCCTAATTTCACTTTTTTTTTAAAAATTATTTTCAATTTCATTCTAAATCTATTGTTTTTTCTAATTTCACATTAAATTAAAATTTATTAATTTTAAAAATAGTTTTTTATGCATTTTTTGATGTTGAAATTAATTTCCGCCTAAATTTCAGATCTGAATATTACATCTCGGTACATAAATAAAATTTAAGAGTAATTGCAAGTTTTAGTATTTTACTAAGAGATTGTAGAAGTTGAGTATCATCAATTTACTCAAATTATAAGGAGTAGAAAAGTAGGATTTGCTCAATTTAATATGTGGATGAATTTTAATATGCTTTTTTATATTTTATTATTCTGATAAATTTGATATTCTTTATTATTGATTTCTTTATTTAGAATAAAATAATATATTAACGCAAGATACAAAAAATGTTGTCTTTTTGTACGTATATAATATGAATCGCATAAAGGATCAAGAAAATTGTATATGGTTTAGTGAAAATAGAGGTTTAGATTTAAAGGTGTAGCAGTTGAATATTAAGTAGTGTAGTAATTAGATATTTAACAAGACTATATACAATCCCTAAAAAATATATGCCTCACATTCTATACACTCGTATATATAGATATATATATATATACACACACAAAACACGAACTACAAGCGACCGATCATGTAGTACACATTTTAGATCAAGAGATCTCAGTAAAATATTTTCATATGATATTCAAGAATTCTGTAAGATGGTGTTATACATAGTAAGATATAAGTGATTAAAAAAATATTTAATTACGTATTAATTTCACTCACGATAGACGTGTTGTATATTAATATTAATATTATATTCAAGCATGGCTTTGGCTTGACCATAATCAAATTCTTTTAACCTATGAATCCATACAATATATATATATATATATATAAGTAACCTAGCCTTTTTATTTTTCCAAAAAATTAAAAAAAAAAATCAATATGGTTATAGTGACATCTATACATATATTCTTTCATATATAGTTAGATAGTCTGTGTCACAAAACTTACCTTATATATCAATTAATTTTGTTCTTAATTTTTTGTTAAATATAAGTATAAAACAAAAGAAATTAATTTCCAATAATTAATTGCTACATGCCAAAAAAAAAAATCAATTATTTTTGTATTATATTTTTGTATAGTAAATAATTTTTAGAAAATGAAATAATGTTTTAAAAATTAAAAGTAAAATATGGATGTTTATATATATATATATATATATATATATATAAGGTATTAGTTAAAAAGAAAAAAATAAATTTTTTTTCAGTGTTTTCTTAAATTCTATTTTTTAATTTTTAATTATGAAACATGTAAATACTAGTTCTCTATACATAAAATAGTTGGTGTATTTTCTGTTTGCCACAAGAATGAAACGGTATCGTATTGGACCAAAAGTAAATTATTGGGCCCACAAGGCCCAGATACAAGCTTTGTTATGACTAATTGGGCTGGACCCACCAAAGTCCAATGAACACATGGCCCATAATGTTCTCATTTTCTTCTGAATTAAAAGGCCTTTTGAAATATTTTTAATTTTTGTTCTTAAAATTCATATTTTCTTTTTGAAAATAAAAACAAAACGTTAAGTTTATTGTATTTCAAGAAATTAAAAAAAAATGTATTATTTTATTATTCTTGTGCGAACAAAAATTATATAAAAATAAAATATATTTTTAGTAAAAATATTTAAAAAATTTATTACCTTTAAAAATAATAAAATAATATTTAGTATGATTAAAGTGTTATCTAATTATTTAAAAAATATTACTTCTCCTTTTTGGT